CCCCCCACCTTGGTTCCAACCCAGTTGCTGTCTACTGAACCAACAAACATTTTTTTCACAAGTCTGTCCAATCTAGGGATTCCAGTGTTCCTGGCTTCTTAACATTAGTATGGACAGTACAGACTCTGTGCCTGCCGTAGGGTGCGTCTACGCTGCACTGTTATTTTGAGATAACGAGCGTTATTTCGAAATAATGTGAGCATCTACACAGCCATTCCATTATTTCAAAATAATTTTGAAATAATCGACAGGTTAGTCCGAAATCTGTAAATGATTCTATGAGGAATAATGCCTATTCCGAAATAGCTATTTCAAAATGAGGCATGTGTAGATGCTCCACTTCTGCTATTTCGAAATAGCCCCTCACTAAGGCCATTCAAAGTTATTCTGCCCCAATGTTCCTGGGGCTCTAAATTGAGATACCACGTCTACATTAGGGAAACCTGCCTTGGACTAATTTTGAGGCCCCCCTGCAGTGCAGACGTGCTGTTTTGAAATAAACTATTTCAGAATAACTATTCCAGAATAGCTTATTTCTAAATAAGCATGCAGTGTAGACGTATCCTTACATTTGCCTTGTTTTCCATATTCAAGGTTCATAAAATCTTACATCCATGTTGTAACTGTAGATAAGACAGATAAGGACCATGGCTCAGGGACACCCTGAAACAAAGAGATCCCTAGAAAACAACAAAAGCATTTAAAGAGTAAGCTATTTGGAGGCAGATTTCATGCTTTCTTTTGTGATTTATACATCACCGAACACAGGAGATAAATAGTAAGACAGGTATGGGTGCCCAAAATAAAATCTGTGACTCTGCAGCAAATTATCTGTTAGACTGAGATAGAACAGTGGAACGATCATTACAAATGTGAACAACTAGGATTTGGTATTCATGGATAGAAAGTGTGAGAGGTTGATTAGTGAAAAACAGCCTGCTACAGGAAGTTCCAACACCATTTATCAGCTCTCTACAGTGGCTCGGGCCATTAAAACAGCCTGACCTCAACACTTGAACTCTGGCCATTTGGCAGAGATTTTGAGGTGTGCTATAGTTTGCTGGAACATGACCCAAACATTTCAGAACACTTTGTATGAAGAACTTTAGGTAATGACCTTCATTGTTACTTTTCATAAAACAAGGGAAGCTAATTTATCTATATTTCTATATAACCCAATAAACAACAATATTTTACAGTTACAGATGACTTCCCATTCAAGGACTTAATACCACATTTGTCAAGTCAGTAATTATTAAATTCATTTTGTAGCAAAGGAAACAAGGACACAGGGATGGAGTGACTTGCCCGAAGAAAGAAAGGAAGGTTGTGGCACAGCTGGAAATACAAAACTCTGGTGACCAGTCCTTTGTCTTGGTGGTAAGATTCTTTTGCCCCCCAGTGTGGCTTACAAATTAATGACAGAAACATTAGCTAAGTGTAAGTCCACGTTATTTCAGGGTAGGCTGGGAGAAGAGTTGAAGACATAATTAAGGCCGTTTTCCCTTATGCAATATTTATAATAATATACAAAAATAAAATGACACTTGACAGGAAAATAAACATTTAATGAAAGACTGCGATGAAAAATCCATCTATTTAAAATACTGTTTATTTGTGATTTAACATTAATTAGCATTACATCTATGAGCAATTTCAGATAACATTTATATAATTTTCCACAGGACACAGAGTTGGCTGGCTCATTCTTTATGCCAAAGCAAGTAAATAGAGGCATTAGCAAAAAGGTGCAAATAGTTCACGTTTGCATTTTAAAAAATATTTATGCACATTGCATTCATTAAGATATATTTTTTAAAAAAGTTATGAAAAGCATAGTTCACAGGTTACTTTTTCTACATATGTTGTAATACAACACAAAAAATGTAGAACATAAAAAAAAGAAGTTAAGCAACTGGAAGTTTCCACTAAGATTAAAAACACTGATTCCAGTATTTAGTGATAACTAGAATATCATTTCCAGGATCCATTCCAACATTGCATTGTCACACTTACACACTCAAAGCTAACCAGCTCCAGAACATGCTATAGTCAATATTTTTGCATGCCAAACCACTCTCCAGCCATACTTAATCTATATACTGTATATATTTCAACTGGCAATCTGGGAATCACACTGATCTTTTAAACTTGTTTGCTATTGCAATGGCTGATGTCCTACAACAAATTTGAGAAGAAAAAACCCTATGTTAATTTCTATGCTTAGTTTGTTTTTACAATATAGTAAAAAGCAAAAATTAAAATATCAGCAAAATGAGTAAGTGGCACTACTGCCACTACCCATGGCACTAAGATCTAATTGGTTCTTGGTTTGTCTGAAGGACATAAGAGATTCATGATACCCTTTTAAAAATCAAATTGAAGTGAGATAGAGTGTAGATCTCCATGTGAAACCACGTAAGTTATTTTAACTTCTAATATGGAAATGTGATTTGATGATTTAATAAAAATACCTCACAATCCATATCATATATGTAATAAAAATAATCACCAAACTTTTACTTTCTTTGCAACATTCTATTTTCTTACCATTTCACATTCCCTTAACAGTTTTGTTTCCTTCATTTGGTTATGTTAAGAGATTATTTTTCTTCATTTATTAGCAATGCCATGAGGGAAAAACCATGGTAAGATTTAAACATGAATCCATTTTAATTTTATATGCTTTAATCCTTTGATAGTGGAGTCCCTGGATTCCTGAATTATATTTAAGTATACTCTAAACCAAGCATCCTTAAATACACTCTACTGTTAGATGCTTGGTTTACATGCTTATAATATTTTTTATACTAAATGGTATACAAACATTTCAACATATAAAATCTTATTTTGTTTTTCCATACTTTAACTAAGTTATCAATGTTAAGTGTATAAAATCCCCTTTTATTGAAAAATAAGGGTTTTTTTCCCAACTGATAGAATAAAAAAAGATGCATTTAAAAATTATATTTCACTAAAATGAAATATTTGGCAAAAAAGTTATTGATGAATTGACTTTTACACATTTTGTATAATTCCAAATAAAATTTCTCTTACACAGTTTTTCTTCTAATATTACGTGCCAGTGTATAATATTCTATATATTCTAACCTTAAGATTTAAAGGTGTGCTGTTAATATGTACCCATTGATGAAGGGTACAGAAACAAAATATATTGTCTGAATCACAATACAAAACGTATTATATGATTACCAAGTGAGGCAGCAGTTTAAAAATGAAATTTCATGTAATCACTCAACAGTAACTCAATTAGAGACTTCAACTGTGCTGAAGGTTTTACAGTCTGCAAAATACTCCAAGTGTAACTTGTCACAACAATGTACTACAATGGTATCTGATCTCACTATGATAGTATTAAAGCACCTGCCAATGTAGCTCTATGTGAAATTACTGAATGTTTCAAACCCTCAGTAATTTTGGACACTAAGTAAGAGATGAATTTTTTTTTTAAACATAAAATTATTTTTAGTAAAACCTTTTCCAGTTTTGTTCATAGGTTAAGATCCAGTTTACTGCACACCCCTACCACTACTTTGTTAATGTTCACCTTGAATGTGGTTTCAAAATGTGCAATGCCACCTCTTAAGAACAGAGCTGCTCTTATGCTTCCACCTTTTCCTTCTTTTTGTTCTTTTTCAGAAAAGACGGAGTACGGAATTTCTTTTTCTTCTTCGATGGTGATTTGGAAGGGGAGCCCTCAGGAGACAGGGTCTCTTCAATCTTTTCAGAGGTTTTAATTGTAATCTCTACACTCTCCACAGTACTAGTGGTTAACTGACTGACCCGTTGGGTGAGATCTTCTTCCACATCATGCATATCTTCTTTGCCATTCACCACCACAACTGGTACCTCTGTGGAGATGAGGTTAGCATTCTGGACATACATATCTTCATGATTTTCTATGAAAATGGAGAGTTCCACTATTATTATTCTTACTTTTGAGAGAAATATTTATGAAAAAAAATCAGAACTGGGCCTGGAATATGAAGTTTGGAAATTTGATTCGGATATGAACTGCTGCAAAGTTTAAGGTGCTCAATTATGTATTTTTCCTGTTTTCTGTGCTCTTTATTTTGTTTTTGTCAAATGATATAAAAGTAATAGTGTACATATTTCATCAAAGGATATGGAGTCAACTTCTCAGCCCATTCGTAGCCAAGAATAAAGCAACAGCTTTGCTGACCAAACAGTCTAAAGTATAATTAGAATTATGTGTGCCTTCACAAGGCCAACATATGAATATGCACTCACTATGCAAAAAAAGCTTTCAGAATAAAAACCTTTAAAAATGCTACACTGCTTCTGTTTCAGTACCAACGGAGGTTCTCTTTTGGAAGACTGTTAAACAAAAGACATAATAGCTACATAACAGGGAACAACAGACAACATACCTCCCATTTATTCATGTATGTTTCACAGTGTGCAATTTTATTGGAATGATTTCACATCAGCAAAAATGTATATTGGGGGGAAAAAAATCAGTAATGGTCTTTAAGACACACTCACTGTTAACTACAGTTAATTAGGTTAGTTTTTGGCCAGCTAACTTTGAAAAATGTGTTCTATCAATTCCAATTTTTCATTTAGATTGAGTAAAGGTGCAGACTTCAGTAAACTCATTGGTTGTAAAAAGCAAGAATTTCATACTGAAACACATATTCCAGTTTCTAAAATCTGCAAAGCAGGCTAAACTATACCTTACTTAAAGGGTATAATGAAACAATAAGTGACCAACATTATTAGAGCTCTTTGTGTTTTATAAGAAAGTTGTATTTAATACCTTCTAATTTTTCAGGGACATTTTGTGGGGACTGAGTTTGTGACACAGATGAACCATCATCTGAGACTAATTCCTGTTCAGCATCTGCAGGATAAGATTTGAATTAGTAGCCATGCAAAATAAAAATGAGCAAGAATATTAATGTTAGTGCATAAAGTATTTACAGCTCTGCTAGCACTGAACTGTTCATGCTAAAGTACATTAACTTCTTGACAATAGTTTAAACACATTATTAAGAAGTTTTACAGCCATCATCCACTAACAGTTAGTTATCAGATGTTAGCTCTTCTATACAAGTAATTAAAAAAAAGGCTGAATACAAGCGAGCAGGTAGACCATGCATATGCAGTTTCATCTCATCATTACCAAGTGACACATAAGAAATCATGATACCATTCATACTCTTAGAAAATCTATACTACGAAAGTCAATCACACAGTATTAGTGCAGGAGAATGCATTATAAATGCTATTGTTAAGCAATACTGAATTAGTAATTCCTATAAGGATTAGCAACATAAAAAACTGTTATAAAATGCTTCTAATTCAAGTGGATGAAAGTCTTGGGGACATAGGAAAGATTATTGAAAAACAATGTTTTTACCTTTGAATCTTTAAGCTTTTGAAAATAAGAAATTATAAAGGTATGCTTTAAAATACCAGCATTTCAGAGTTAAGACATTGCCAAGTGAATAGCAAACAGAAAACTATACCATTTAAGAATATTATTTTTGATAAATGAGAGTTGCTAATGCTTTGCTCTAAATGTTTAAGATTTTATTTCTTGGCGTGTATTCCCCAATTCATGGTGGCATATTTCTCCTTTCAAAGGATCAGCTATTCCTATCTGAAATACAGGTTCAGAAAACAATACAAAATGAACCTATTAATGTACTTAGGTTGACTCCCATTGTTATGTAAGCTTTCTGGCATTTTCGTTCCTATTAGGGCAGGGGTGGGCAATAATTTTTGATGGGGGGGGGGCCACTCCAAGAATTTAGAAAGAGGTCGAGGGCTGCAACTCTTCCATGATATTAATGGAGGAGGTGTGGGGTCTTGGATGGAAGTTGGGTGCAGAAGGGAGCTTGGGGTAAGGGATGGAGTTTGGATGAAGGAGGCAGTTGTGACGAAGGAGGCAGTTGTGACCTGGGGCACTGGACTGGGGCGGAGAGGGTTGGATTGTGACCTAGGGCAATAGGGGACTGTGATCTGGGGCAGGGGATTAGGGTGCCAGATCTGGGAGGGGATAATGGGTATAGGAGGGGAGCAGAGGATTTGGGTATGTGGAGTGGGGGGCAGAGCATTGGGAAAGGGAGGGACTGGGGTGCCAGAGACTTACCAGCCAGCAGCGGTTCCTGAATCAGCCTCCCTGCCCGTCCTGCCTCATGCAGGCTGCAGCCAGGTGCTCTGGAGCCCCTTGTGCTTTGTGGCTGCCTGTTATTGAAACAGGCAGCTCCCATTGACCAGTATCTGGCAAGAAACCGGCCAATGGGATTGTGCTGGGGGTGGAAGCAGCTCCTGAAACTCCCCCCCCCCCCCCCTCCGGGACTCAGTTTTAAAAGAAAAACTGCCCAACAGCCACGTTTGAATGACATGCGGGTGGGACAAGGCAAACAGGGAGCCTGCCTGGAGCTCCCTGCAGCATCCGTGGGCTGGATCTGGTGGCATATTTTGCCCAGGCTTGTACTAGGGACATAAAAGGTTAACCAGAGGGCTGGGTGGTGGTCTGGTTGGACCCCAGCCACACAGTTAACCGGTTACATGATTGCAATTATAGTGTTAAGCTGTTTTTAATGGATAGTGACACCCCTAGTTTTGACACAAAGTAAAATCACCTAACATAAATTCTACAGTCCTCAAACCGTAAAAATTTGTAATATTTCCCAGGATGGTTGCTTTTGTCAGGTGAGTGCAAGAACTACAGCATAACAAGGTTTCAAGATGTGCTATCCCACCCCAACATAACAATGGAAGTTTGATCATAATGTAACAAATCATGTTCAATAAGGGCACCTTCCTACTGGCTTCCTGTTTGTCAACCCCATTAATTTCACATCTGGCTTTTAATATTATTATTTTAATATTATTGTTTACATTGCACTGGTGCCTACTGACCCCAACTGTGCTACCAGCTGTACAAACATTCCAACAGACAGTCCCTACCCCACAAAACTTTAAAGGTTTGTAGAGTGCTGCATTCTAACTAGTGCTGTCAAGAGATTAATCATGTGCATTGCCCCTTTGAAACATTGCAGTGGCATTTCAAAGGAGCAGTGCCATGAAAGCCCAGGATCAGCTGCAGTCTTCAGCTGGCCCCAGGCTCAGTGCAGCTGCCCCTTTGAAACACCAGGGCGGTGCTTCAAAGGGGGCAGCACTGCACAGCTGACCCCAGGAGCTGCCCATTTCAAATGCAGCAGCGGCATTTCAAAGGGGCAGTGCTGCAGAAACACCTGCAATTAACGTGTTAAAAAAAAACTTACGTGATAATTGTGCTCTGCGTTAATCGCAGGAGTTAATGCACGTTAATTGATAATGCACGTTAACTGACAGCCTTGATTCTACCTGTTCATAAAGCTCCAGTTACTGCAGGCTCCCTAGTGAAAACTGATCTACCCATGTTCCAAAGCAGGATAAATCAAAGTACACTGGCAAACTTTCCTTTTGTGGTAACAGGGTCCGCCCACATGGACTATTAGTGACTGGCAGACTAATGTGTGGCAAATTTATACCACAGCTTACCTTCAACTAACGATTCATCTGGATAAGCCCCCAGTATAAGCAGAGACAAGAAACGGGAACACAAGCAAACACTGGTAAGCCTGAAAGCCATGGGTGTTAGTACACTAGCTACTCAACAGTGTCAGGGTTTTTTGTTTGGTAGGGAGCATGGCAAAAACTGTTTTAAGGAGGGATTTAAAGGAAGACAATGAGGAGGTTCTTAGGATATTTACATAAGCCGGTGTCTCACCAACAGAAGTTGGTCTAGTAAAAGATATTACCTGATCCACCTTGCCTCTTATGCTTGTATTAAATTTGTAGATGATACCAAGCAGGGAAGGATTGCAATTGCTTTGAAAGATAGGGTCATAATTCAAAATGATCTGGACGAACTGGAGAAATGGTCTGAAGTAAACAGGATGAAGTTTAATAAGGAAAAATGCAAAGTGTTCCACTTCAGAACGAACAATCAGTTTCACATACAGAAAATGGGAAATGACTGTCTAGGAAAGAGTACTGCAGAAAGGCATCTAGCGGTTATAGTGGACCACAAGCTGAATTTGAGTCAACAGTATGACACTGCTACAAAAAAAGCAAACATGATTCTGGGATGTGTTAACAAGACTGTTGTGAGCTAGACACAAGAAGACATTCTTCTGCGCTACTCTGCACTGATCAGGCCTCAGTTGGAGTAGTATATCCAGTTTTGGGCACCTCATGTTAAGAAAGATGTGGAGAAATTGGAGAAGGTCCAGAGAAGAGCAACAGAAATTATTAAAGATCTGGAAAACATGACCTGTGAGGGAAGACTGAAAGAACGGGCTTGTTCAGTTTAGAAAAGAGAAGACAGAGAGGGGACATAACAGTGGTTTTCAAGCATCCAAAAAGGTGTTACAAGGAAGAGGGAGAAAATTGTTCTCCTTGACCTCATAGGACAAGAAGCAATGGGCTTAAATTGCAGCAAGGGAGGTTTAGGTTGGACATTAGGAACAACTTCCTAACTGTCAGGGTGGATAAACACTGGAATTACTTGCCTAGGGAGGTTGTAGAATCTCCATCTCTGGAGATATTTAAGAGGAGGTTAGACAGATATCTATCAGGGATAATCTAGACCAGGGGTCAGCAACCTTTCCAAAGCAGCGTGCCAAGATTTAACTTAGGCGCTTATATTTATGGATCTGCATGTCAGGGGGAGGAGGGCGGCGAAGGAGGGGACAGAGGCTGAGAGGGCATGAGGGGGCTAGGCGGATGTGTGAAGAAAGCCCTGACCTTGCTTGTCAGATCTAGCTCGCGACAGAGTGGCAGAGCGAGTGGCTCCATGTGCTGCCACTCCCCAGTGGGGGGAGACAGCAGTAGTGCACCTGCCAACCCTCAATGTGCCGCCTTGCAGCACCTCAGCTGGGCTCTGGCCCCTCCCGGGGCTGAAGTGGCAGCTCCAAGGCGCTGAGATCTGGGTTTTGCCTCTGACATGGCCACCCCCTCTCCAGCAGCAGCAGTCGCTGTAACAACAAGCTGCCACCTGGAGATGGAGGAGTGACCGGACCAGGGATCCGCATGGCAGCCGCAGCGGGTGGCAGGGGCTCGCCAGGACTCCAAAAATGTTCTAGACTCCGGAAACGCCCACCAGCAAAGCGCTCAGAGCACCTATGTTCTCTGGAAGGGAGGTAGGGAGGCCGTTGCTGCTGCATCGTGCTATCATGAGCCTATCCCAGCTGATCAGGCAGGGAGGCTCATACGCCAGTGAAAGTGATCTTGTGTATCACTTCTGGCACTTGTGATTAGGCTGCCACCCCCTGATCTAGACAGTGCTTGGTCCTGCCATGAGGGCAGAAGACTCCTGAGGTCCCTTCCAATTCTAGTATTCTATGATTCTCTCTAAGACCCTGGGACACACAAGGCTACAGCCATTCCTCTGTAATCCCTTACGATGTCCAACGGGTGTCTCTTCATAGGAGGAATTCGGTATTTGATCAGGAGCTTAATCTCTGAAATTTAATTCCACAATCTAGCTAATGAATAAGAACTACTACTTCTTCTCATACTACTTTGACGAGACGGATGAGAAGACAGTTACATAATAATGATCAAGAATCCTGGACATGCACCAAGAATCTGACCAGAGAAAGAAACTCTGCTACTTTCTGATATAAATTGCATCTGTCCTGTTGCAGCCAGATAACAAGGAACAATTAGTACTTCTTTTGCTCTGTGGCCTGTACTGATGGCAGCCAAGTCTCGGTGTCCTCTCTAGCTGTCTCCAGGATAAATGTAACAAACAACTGGGGGGTGGAGGGGAGAAGAAGAGAAATACAAATGTCAAAAGATGAGAACAGGAAGATGCAAATCTGCTATTATTGCTCTCAGCACCTGGCATTGAAAAGCCATATTAACTGCAGTGCACAAGCGAATGCATGTAAGTAATGTCTGGCAGTTGTACTTTGCACATTTCCTGTAGCAAGGCTTCCCTGAGGAAGCTGCTGCAGACCTTGTAAAATAAGCAATCATGCCCAGCCTCTGCATTCTATTGAGAAGAACCTGTTTTTTTGTCGCCACTCACTGAAGACATGTCCTTTGTCTCTACGCACAAAACACGGCACCTGCATCGCCACAGCTGTGCCACTACTGTGTGCATCTCGGGAAGTTCTGCTGCTAGCCCAATAAAGCCAACTTCCGTAACTCGTGGAGGTACATCAGCAGAGGTGTGTCTCCATAGCTCCATGAGCACTTAGTGCTTACCACGCCAGTGCTTATGCCAGTGCTAACTTATGTTGGTCAGGAGGTGATTGATTTACTCCCCTGAGCAACGTAAGTTTGGCTGACATAAACTGATGTGTAGACATAGCTCAGACTAATTCAAGAGGCGAAAATCTGTAAGGTTCAAAACCTTACGGTAAATAATACCCAGGTAAAAAAGCTTCAGGGGGTAGCTGAGTTACCCATGTAAAAGAAAACCTGAATTAATTTAAAGCTTAGTTCTGACCCAGATGTTATCTGAGGTGTTCTACATGTTCCTATACCCTAACTAGGCTTTCACATAAGAGGAACTGCAGTAAAGTACCCAAGAAACCTCCTGTTTTTGAAGGGGGGAAGGGATGGATCAAACAACTCGGCTTCACTGAGCTTGAACCCTACAGGAATGGTCCACGCCAGGAATCTGAAGATACCACTGATTTACTCTGGAACCATGCCTCCTGAGCTACAGAGAAGCCATCTACACAGTATGAGGGGATGAGGAGAGGACATTGTCTCCAGAACAATCTCACCTGAGTGGACACAATCCTACATAAGATGAGGCTTCATAGGATTTGCATTGACGATCACTGAACTCTCACATATCCTCTAATGAGAACTGACTCTTAGTGCTGTGGCCACACAGATACAATTCAATAGGCCCACCCACAGTTTGACAACACCCTTTGGGGTACTTGAAATTGTCATGTCCCCTTTCAGTCCGATAGGCACCGATTTGAGGATGCCCCCCTTTTTTCAAGACCCTACCTGACTGTTAAAAAGGAAAGACCAATTCCCAGTATCTTTTTTTGTGGCAGCTTGACCTGGTGCGTGTGTGGCGGGGGGAGGAGAGCGGGGGGGAAGAGAACAGGACGACTGGCACTGGAGCAGGTCATATTTTTGAGGCAGCAGTGTCCATTGGTCTTTTAGATCATTGGAATTTTTTTCGCAGATGAATTTTTTTGCATTAAAGATTGCCTAAGCACATGCAAAGATAGAAAGACAGAGACTCTGATTGCCCTTTTCCATTTTATATTCTGATGACTACATTTAAAATGGACACAAATCTACAACTTTGTATTTCAGAAGTCAGTAGCTGTTAGTTAATCTTAGTGGCACAGCTGATAAATGAAATAGGCATAAGCTACAATCCACTCATAGAATGTTCTATTTATACCAGATATATATTTGCTTTTAAATCATGTTTTAGTTTAATTGGCCTTTTACTGTCAGATTCACACAAGACAATGCATCAGATAAAAATTAGCAATTAAATAACTTGCAATAATTACAGTTTCCAGAATGCAATGAATCTTTCAAGTGTATTTTAGAAATATTGTTTCTTTTTATGTTGAATATCTAAAACACTACTGAAAAGCCTTAGCTAATCCCCTTGGAAATCCATTTGAACAGACACGGCTTACTCATTATGATGCACAAAGCTGTTCATGCAGACTAAGATAGGAGATTTTTTCATACTTTCCTGATATTAGATGTACTGTATGTATAGTTTGTTCCGCTCCTCCAACTCCGTCCTGGACCTTCTCTAATCTGTCTGTCATCCCTTGTACTCTTCTGAAACTGCTCTCACGAAGTCACTTCAAGAGTATTGACCAATTCTGACTCCCTAGACAAATCTTCACAGGCAGTTGGCCATTCTCATTGACCTGTCAAGCTGCCGTTGACACTCAACCAACCTCTTCTTAAAATCTTGATCTCCCCTTGGCTTCCATGACTTTCTCCTCTCTTGGTTCTCCTAGTTCCTTAATTTCTCATTCCTACTCTTCATGGGGGTTTCACAGGGCTCTGTCCTTGGTCCCTGTAAAGGATTCAGGCCTATTTTAGTGCCCTCCTTCTAACAGATAAAGGTTGATCTTGCTGAGCTGGGTTAATTCTGTCTGTGCTGTCTCAGAATTCAGGGAAGCAGTATCCAGCAGGATTACTTGTTTTATTTTAAGCCTTATTGACAAAAAGAACCACTTTCACATCCATCCAGGCTGGTGCTGTAGAGATCGTTTTCCTAGCTTATTATGGCTTTAAACACGCCATTGCCTCCCTTTGCATTCTTCCTGTGAGTCCCCCTTCTCTATTCAAACTACTTTGTACTCACTTTCAAGGCCTTTTATAGAACTATTCCACCTGACCGATCTCACCTCTCATTCACTAATTAAGAAGTCAACTCCTGTCTCCAGTCCGTCTTCATTGCCCATGGATTAAAATTTCAAACAAGCACCTCCGTACTTTCTCTCATGCTGCCCTCAACTGGGAGAAGGTCCCCAGGAATACTCACAAAACTTAGTATCCCTCAAATCCCTCCTCTGCTATGACGTCTACAAAAAATCCTCAAACTCTGAATTTGATAATTTTTGGGCCAGTGGTGTATTGAGACTATCATGCTGATCAATTCTGAATCACTGTTTTCTTGTTTTCCCATCAATTTGTCTGTATCCATCTGTTGTCCCTTGTCTTAGATTGTAAGCTCTTTGCAACAGGACTGTCTGCTTATTCTTTGTTGGTAGAACATCTAGCACAGTAGAGTTCTGGTTCATGAGTAGGTCTCCTTGGTGAGACCACAACAGAAGTAATAAACCCACAGTAATAACAGTACCCAGAATATTTAAGCATGAACATTGCTTAGATTCATTCCTATCGATGTAGTGCCCTTTCATTATTGTTAATAATAGCACTTCAAGTTAAATCAGAATATGTCCATCATTAACTGTGGTTTATTTGCCTGGGGAGTCTTTAAATATACTCTGTTAGCTGCCCTAATTAAATAGGACAGAATGGATATTACGAATAAGTCTGTCAAAGAAATCCAACAACAATAGAGTGTCAGCTGCTTCGGAATTATTCTGTGAAATGTTTCTCCTCTTTTTGGGTAACTTTACTACACAAATTCCCTAGCAATTCTTTTTTAGTGTAGTAAAGAATATCACATTTTAATATCACCAACTTCCTCAGTTCAAAAAAGAAAATGTTCCTAAACAATATATCCAAGAGACATGACATTAGAAAGGGATTAATAGGACTCAGCACATATGCCATACGATTAACAACCTTCTCATTTCTGATTTTGTATGTAATATGTTTAATCTACTGAATGGATTTTTTTAAACAACTAAGATTTAATTATAATTAAAAATCTCAACCATTTCTTATGTAGTTACTGATTTCAGAATACCTTAGAAGAAGCATCCACCTCAAACTTAATCCCCAACATTTGGCAGATTAGACTACTGACCTTCCATTCCTTGCTGCTTGCGCTCAATTGTCTTCTTATACTCTTCCAGTTCCTTTTCAGTAAGATGACTGAATGGATTGGGAGGGGCTGGTGGTGCATGCTCATCTTCCTCAAACTGCATTGGCTGGGGAAAAAAAGAAAAAAAAAATCAGAGACAGTAATAACAACAGAAAAGATTTACAGTATCTGTCCCTTCCTTTCCAAGGTTTGGGGATAACAGACCTACAAGAAAGAGAGTGTTGTAGATGGAAAGACTAAAAAAGCAAATTGAAATTGCTTCAATTAATAAGCATTTGCTCCCAAGTATACTGTAGGCATTTGCTTATTTAAAATATTGTGGGATTTGGTAATAAATTAAAAAAAAAATCAAAATTTTCTTGTGCTCACTTGCCTCTGAAAATTATTAGTTGAGATTTCTGGTGACTGATCTACTGCTGTTGATATAAAGTAACAACAGGCATTAATTGATTACTTATTGCATAATATCTCAGATTAGCCACTAAGGTGTCAATTGATTAAAGCACACAACTGCTTTGGTGAACTGTGATCCAAATATCTAAGCTCATTTGAAAAAGCCTTTTTGTCCATTTGAATCAATGGATTTACCTCAAAATTTAATAATTCATTTTTACAAATGTGAATTTTAATGGTATGCTAAGAGTGGCATTATCAAAAATGCCAAGTGACTCAAGACTGAGTTCCATTGACTTTCAGGAACTTGCACTCCTCAAATCATGTATGCACTTTTGAAAATTCCACCTCAAAATTCTAATCTTCTAAAGCTTCCTACTTTTCTCACCAATGTGCTGTAGAGTCCACCTCTAAGGCCATGTCTTCACTTCCCAGAAGATTGACACTGTGGCAGTCGATCTTCCGGAGTTTGATTTAGCAGGTCTAGTAAAGACCCGCTAAATTGAACACTAAGCGCATCCCCATTGACATCGGTACTCCTCAAATTGGGAGTTTGACACAAATAATGGAGTTGCATATCTTAATTTGAATTTAGCATAAATATAGACATGGCTTAAGAGTGACAACCCTTACTCTAGTTAATATCTATTTATTCTGCTGAGAATTTTAACAGGGCTGGCCCACATTTTGACACCTGAGGCGGGGAGCTCAAATGACACCCACATGCCCCCTCGCTTGGGCCAAAACTTTGAAATGTCTCAATTCTGCCTTCTTCCCGTTCTATTCCTCTCATGTCACTCCACCATCTCTGTGCATCTAGAGCAGAGAGAATACATATGCACCAGCAGCAGACAATTTTCTACACTCTGGGTTCTAGTGGCGCCCTTCCCCCCCCCCCACAGTCTGCCTCAGTTTGCCTCATGGTAAGGCCAGCCCTGAATTTTAATAAAAGCCCACTAAAATAGTGACCCTCTCTATACAAAGAGTTTAATCACAATTAACTTACAGCCATCAAAAGAGTAGGACTTCACTATCAACACAGGCTAGATTTACATCAATAATTTACATTAATATGGTGTCTGAATTGTTTAGTATTAACTTATTACAATTTCCACAATAAATTCTTCCTTCTACATTTCATTTCCTTTTTTCAGTTTATGATTGTTCTACAACCATGGTGTTCAATAAACTAGTCACTAGCCACATGTGGCTATTTGGCTGGTCACTATAGTGGCGACTGCTTCAGAAGTGGTTGGAAGCCACAGTTCTACAGCAAGCAAACTGTTTATAAAACTGAACTTGAGAAATAAGAGAGGGAGAAATGGAGTGATTGTTTTAAAGTGAAAAACACTTTTAAGTCAACAAGGTGACATTCACTTGCACTACATGAGAAAAGAAGGGGAAAAAAACCCCAAAACCTCAGCACCATTTCAAGAGTATAGGGAATTAAAGTGAGGAAATTGTCTTAACCCATACATAAAATGTGGGGCAGCTGCACACAAAAAATGACAAGATCTTTGTCAGAATAAGTGGATTTTCTATATTTATCTAGAAAAGCATACAAAATTATACATAATTAGGGCCATTTGTATAACTCAGAAATAAATACAACTGTGCTAAAGAAAAAGCAGAGTTATCTTTGAGGGATGTAAGCGACTAGTTGAGTAGTCGACTATTTGATAAGCAAATGCTTATCAGGTAGTCGACTAGCAACTTGACTAGTCACTCCCCCTCCCCCCGCGCCTTGCTGCCTCTATCGGAGGGAGGAAGCAAGTAGGGGCAAGCAGGAGCCAGTGCTGGGGGGAACTGGCTTAAAGCAACCCCCGCTGGTGCCATTTCCCTGTTTACGGCCAGTTCCCCCCAGCACCGTCTCCGTCGGGTAGGGGAGGCAGAGGCACAGCAGGGAAACGGTGCGAGTGGGGACTGCTTCAGTTCCTGCTTGCGCTAGTTCCTACTGTGGGCGCTTCTGCTTTTGAGATGTAGAAGAGCCTCACAGGCATTCCAAAAGCAGAAGTGCCGCAGGGAGCATGGGGGCGAGCAGGGACTCAAGCAGTCCCCGCTTGCCCTGTGCTTTCTGCAGCGCCTCCCACACTTGCTGCCAGGGGTGGGATAGGAACCAGTGCTGGGGGGAGCTGGCTTTTAAGCACCATCTCCAGGGTGCCTCCTGCCCCCTCTGCTGCCTCTATCAGAGGCAGCAGGGGGGATAGGGGCTATTGCTATGAAGCAGTGGAGAGCTGGATCCTCCTGCGGATGGGGCTGCTACCACCAAGCAACCTCTGTTCGCAGTGGCCAGGGCTAGTTCTGGCACAGAGGCTGCTGGAGCAGGAGCCACCGTTCATGGCATACCGGGCTGTCAGCCGCAAACAGGACTAAATGTGAGCTAGGGCCAAGCAATCCCAACTCGCACTGATCACTGAATCTCTGCATTTAAGACCCAGTGGCTCTTACTACATTTAATATCTAGAGCTGCAGCACAGGTGGCTCCAGAGCTGGCAGGCACCAGGACTGCTCAGTCCTGGCTCAAGTCAGCTCCTGGAGCTACCCCCGCTGCAGCTTTGCAGAGGCACTTGCTGACTAATCGCATAGTCGATACAAATTGTATCAACTATATGATTAGCCAGATCATCATATTTTAATATCCTTAGTATCTGCTAAGAAGCAAGAAATGATCACCATAGAACTTTAAGTCCTTCTTGCTCCTAAACCCGGTCAATACGTATGTTTCTCTCAGGCTATGTCTAGACTACATCCCTTTTTCGGAAAAGAGATGTAAATTAGACATACCGCAATTGCTAACAAAGCGGGGATTTAAATCTCCAGCGCTTCGTGAGCATAAAAATGGCTGCCGCTTTTTTCGAAAATAAAGCCTTTTCCAAAAGATCCTTTATCCCTTATTTCAAGAGAGATAAGGGATCTTTCGGAAAAGGCTTTATTTTTCGAAAGATCAGCGTCTAGACTGGTGCTTTTCTCCGACAAAGCTCCGTGCCAAAAAAAAGCGGCAGCCATTTTTATGCTCACGAAGCGCTGGTTTAGCTATTGCGATACGTCTAATTTACATCCCTTTTCCGAAAAAGGGATGTAGTCTAGACGTAGCCTATGTGAATTATCTAATTTGCAAATACATTATTATGGGGGGAGGGAGGAAAGTGGTACCTGATTTTATTGAAACTTATGCATGAAAATTTTTTTACACTGTTGTATATTATTATTTCAGAGGGGTAGCTGAGTCTGTAACAGGAAAAACTTTAAAAAACAAACAATAGTCTGGTAGCACTTTAAAGACTAACAAAACATGTAGATGGTATCATGAGCTTTCGTGGGCACAGCTCACTTCTTCAGATGACTGGGTGTGAGTCTTACTCATTTGAATCTCATTCTTTTTGGTATCACAGTACAGCTGGAAAAAAATGACTAAGATGATTTTGTCCTCCTGTATGGTAATACAGCAATATTTCTTGCTGTATTTGTAAATATTTGGCTCTTTTTTTGCAATTAATTTTAATTAATTTTCAGAAATTAAAATATAAAGTAGCAAGGAAAGACTTACAAATACTTAATCATTTACATTGTTGCAAATAGTTTTTAAGCAACGAGGAGTCCTGTGGCACCTTATAGACTAACTGAAGTGTAGGAGCATAAGCTTTCGTGGGCAAAGACCCACTTCGTCAGATGCATGTCTGTTTTAGGCTTCTAGCATTTCTCACAGGGCTTGAAGCCAAGGGGCCTAGGCTTGCCCTGCCGGACACACAGGGGACGAGAAGCGAGCCCCGCATCTGGATACTTGAAACTAAGTACAACACTTAACAGCTAATAAAACCTTTAGATAAGAACAGTGAACTTTTTAACGACTAAAATGACGATAAGAACCGCTAAGAAGTGCTTGCACAGCAAGAGCAAAGGCATGTCCATCACAAAGAAGGAACCGAGGAGGTGGAGGGCCATCAGGGGGTAAATATTAGCTGATATGCCAGCACAACTCCAGGGGACTCCCCTGCTGGCCCAACGGGTAATGCTAAGGGAAAAACTTCCAAAAACACATGCACACAGCGTGCACACCTACATGAAATAGACACGAGCAACACACTTCAAAGAAGAACCTCTCCTGTTGCTATAGTGAGAGTCTACACTGAAGCACTACAGTGGCACAGCTGCAGCACAGTTGCTGTGTCACTGTAGCGTTTTAAGATGCACCCTGAGTAACTAGGGGCCTCTCAAATGCATTTTTTAAAATATTGTAGATAAAAATTTGTATTCTGAAAGATCAAAATATCTCTTTGTTTAGATAAAATGGTTACTTACCTTCGTAACTGTCGTTCTTCGAGATGTGTTGCTTATGTCCATTCCATGTAGGTGTGAGTGTGTTGTGTGCGAGAGTCATTGGAAGTTTTTCCCTTAGCAGTACCCATTGGGCCAGCAGAAGAGACCCTTGGAATGGTGCCGCTATACGGGCTAATATATACTTCTGCTGGCCCGCCAATCCTCAGTTCCTTCTTACCAGACTACTCCAAAGGGGAGGCAGGCAGGATTTGGAATGGTCATGAGCAACACATCTCGAACAGCAGCAGTTAGGAAGGTAAGCAACCGTTTTTTCTTCGAGTGATTGCTCATGTCCATTCCATGCAAGTGACTCCAAAGCAGAAACCCCAGGAGGGTTTCGAGTTCTAACCGTCTACCAAGCAGAGGACAGCCCTACCAAGAGCTGCATCCTCCCTAGCGTGGTGAGCCAGGTCACAATGTTTGGTAAAAGTGTGAATTGAAGACCATGTGGCAGCCCTACAGATGTCCAGAATAGGGATTTGAGCCACAAAGACGACAGAAGAGGCCTGTGCCCTAGTGGAGTGGGCCGTGAGAAAAGGGCCTGGAACTCCAGCCAGACTCTAGCACTCCCTGATGCAGGAGGTTATCCATGAAGAAATCCTCTGCGCAGAGATCGGCTAGCCTTTGAGCCTCTCCGCAATTGCCAGCTAAGCGCTAACACTTAACAACTATTTACAGTAAAACTCCGATAGTCCGGCATCCAACTGTTCGGCACTCCTGATACTCCGGCATCAAAATGCCAAGCGCTCCTGACCAGCTGATTAAAAAGCCTGCCGCTCAGCACACATGCTGGCTGTAACCAGACAGAGCATAAGGTGTGTGGGGAGGGGGAAGGAGTGGGATCGTGTTACAGTATGGAGAAGAGCGTTTTGCTTCAGCAAAGGGGAAAGGGAAGGGGAGGGGAAGGAGGATCAGGTTACAGCACGGAGGAGGGAGGAGAGAGGGAGACTGTGTCCTGGCCAGCTGTTAAGCCATGCAGCTGTACCGGACCTCCTGATTCTCCGGCAAATCTGATAATCTGGCACCACCTAGGACCAAAAGGTGCCGGATTATCCGAAGTCTACTGTACAACTATTCAGAATGAGATAAGAACAATGAAACTTGTAACTGCACTATGAAACAAAAGTTGAGGACTGCTAAGAGGTGCTTTCAAAGCAAGAGTAAAGCACGTTCCAAGGACCCTCATATGCAGTAAGAAGGAACTGAGGAAGTGGAGGGCCAGCAGGAGTATATATTAGCCGATATAGCAGCACTACTCCAGGGAGCTCCCCTACTGGCTCAATGGGTACTGCTAAGGGAAAAACTTCCAACAACGCATGCACACACCTACATGGAATGGACATGAGCAATCACTTGAAGAAGAAATAGAATTTTAAGACACATTTAATAAAACATTTAAAAAGAAAAGACCAATATTCAAGTTTGGAGAAAGACTGATAGAACCCACTTAAGGCAGTGAATTAAACCCAAGTCATGATGTACACTTACCAGACTAGGCTTTTTGTCCACAACAATCCCAGCCAGTAGCTGAGACTGTGGTCCTGCTGTCTTTAAGTCATACCGGTTTTGCTCACGAATCTATACAGAAAAAAGGCAAATGTTATTTGAAACATCTATTGGCTTTGCATAGCAAACCCCTTTCTTACCATCAACTTTGTATGGCCAAGGTACTGGGCAGTGGAGCACAACTGGAGCACTGGAATGTGTAGTGCTCTGCTCTGGGTGCCCCCTACCTCTGATCACACTTGCTGATCCTATGACCCCACTTCAGCACCTCTAAAGATTCACTCTGGCCCTGACCCCAGCCACCTGTACACCCTGTGTGAGCCACCATGTATGTGACCCTGGTGGTGGTAAGTCCCTCTGCAGAGCTACATAACATCTGAATATGCGAGGCAAGATGACACAGGCTTAGCTGCCAAAAGGTAAATACCACGTGTGGTCACAGAAATATTCACAGAATTTGCCTCATTTGAATGACATGCTGCTTTCCTCAACTAGCAGCCCGGTCTACATGGCATGATGCACATAGTTAAATTCTAACAAATGAAAACAAAGAAACCCAACCCCCTTCCTCCCCAGGACTGGTAGCCCCTCTCACAGTAAGGCTTGTCAATCTACGTAGGAAGAGAAAGCTTAGTATCCTAGATTGATAATCGTAATCTAAATCAATATCTGGGCAATTATAGGACATTTTTTTATTTATCCTTTTGAAGGAAGGGAGTTGCTCCATCTAAATCATATTCAGTCCTCAGGGATGGTAGTATGGCCTTTTAACCCCAAAAGAATCCAAGAAAGTAAATACCATAATTTCCTGGAAACAGCATTACATGTCTAGCAAAACAATCATGCCTACAGTGAGGTTTGGGTCAGCTTTTGGAAAATGGCCGCTTTTCATATTCATGATAGTAATGTCCATTTAAAATAAATACTAATTCCCAAAAGCTACCCATACATTTCTGCAGTGTTTTGGGAAAGGGCACCTACAGCATAAGAGACATGGGTCAGTTCAGATTTAGATTCAAATTTACAGAAGTTTTGTGCTAATCCTAGGGTTATAGTTTGGAGCCATTTCTGATCTGTCATTCCCAGAGTAACAGCTGATCATCCTGCAAAGGTCTATCTATAACAACGGTGCTACCAGCTTTATTGTTCAATTCAATACCATGTGGAATTTAAAGAAAATTTTTTTGGTAAAGCTATGACACTTTCAGTAAAACATTTACTACTATTTTTAATGATCATTTGTCTGTCAAATTAGAATGTATTTAGTACCTGTAAACAGCAAGTACACATTTCTTTATTAATTTTTTCTTACCTTATTTCTCTTTGCTAAAACCTCACTTGGGTTTGTATTTAGAGGCACAAATTGGTTTGGATCTTCAATTTTGATTGGTGTTCCTCCACTAGTCTTGGAGGAGTCTTCAGCTTTCATCCACTGCAAGAAAAATGTTTAGAATGTAAGGTGGGGAAAAAAAGGGAGAATGTAGCCACTGGAAAGAGCATAGTCTAGTGGTTAGGAGGAGGAACAAGGACTTCTGGGGTCTATTTACATCTCTGCTATTCACTCATTGAGATCACTGCTAATTTGTTAAAACTCTCCGTGCCCTCGTTTACAAATTTGTAAATGGATATATTACTTATGTGCCTTGTATGAGGTTTAATTAAATTATTATAAAAAATTGAAATTCTCACTTGAAAAATAACACGTAACTGCAAAAGGATATTGACATGACTATGTTTAGAAAGGATAGCTTTTACCCAAAATCCTGTAGAAAAGGGCTAAAGGCCACTGAACTTTTTATTCCATTAATACAGCATTTAGTGGCCCCAGAATGAGGGGATTTGCTGGACCAGGAAAGGTTCCTCCCCTCATGGCTGTGCTGCCATTGGATTAGGATTTTTCCTTTTTAAGCAAAAATTTAACATAAGCCTGCCACTGATGGTGTATCATCAAAACTAAAAGGTACAGAGAAATTGGTAAAATACCACCAGGTGGAGCTGCTGCTTTTAATCTATGCTTCATGCAACTGTGGTCTGGTGGATACTTAATGGGATTTTATAGGTACTAGGCACCACTTTGCAAGAGGTGTGGTCTCTCCTGTAGCTGGTTGGGAATGTGATTGAAGCAACATATTTAGCCCTACGAGAAGAATTCCTGCACATCATTCAGAGACATATGTTAGCATGTGGCATTCATAGGCTCTAAAGAAGTCCTGATCAGTTGTCTTTGATAAGAGATGGTGACAAGTGTCCTAGACCCAACAAGCACGGAGATATTGATTTAGCATGGAAAAAGACAGCACTCCACTGGGGAAGGAGAGGCCCTAACATCGAAGGAAAAATGAGACACACTATAGTTGATGCACTGGTAATTCCTTGCCTTCTAGGTGCAGTACAAAAAAACCCTCCTATTATAAAAGAAACATAAGAAGAAATTGCTAAAGGGCTTGATAACAAAGCTGTCTCTTTTTCTACCACCAAAATTTCCCCCCAAAAGAAAGGACATCTCATTGCAGCAGTTATCTTCACATTCAATCCCAGGCAAGCATATCTTCTTGTTTGATAGGTTTTTACCTAATTAGATAATCCAGTAAAAGAGATTTTGTAAATGGGCCAGATTTAGTAATATGATCTCTGTGTAATTCACTTTTTCCTCAGGTGAGTAAGAACAAGCTAACTACCAAAAATAGTGCCTACCGTTATCTTAGTTCTGGGACTAGTCTCTCCATTCCAAGACTCCTCAGGCACATTCACTTTCAAGTATGTATTTGGAGAGTTCAGCCATCTTGTCTTTTCCCGCTGCTGTCTTTGTGCTAGGAATTTGAGGGGGGAAAGCGGGACTGTGTCATCTTCGAAAGAAAAGGCAGTCACAGTGGCTGGGATCTCAACGTCACTCTTATGTCTGGGTTTTTCTCTGACTAGAGGTTGCCTATAAGCATAGCCAGTTCTGTATCCCTGAGGAGGTAAGAAAAAGATAAACCAATAATGCACAAAGAATAAGAAATTATGATAATGAAAATTTTAGATCATGGTATATGTATTAAATGAATTATCTGCAGTCATCACAGAGATATGGCATATACTCCTTTAAAGATTTTTTAATAAATCAATAAATGAAAAATATTTTGAAGTCAGCAATTAGGGATATAAAATTCCAATTGGGGGGCTCAGTTTCCAACTCCCCACAGGGAGGGAGGGCTGCTCTCGGTTACTAGCTCACATCCCTAGTCAGAATCATAGTAGACAGACTGCAGTTTTTTCCACACATTCGATAGTCTTTCCACTTCCCTGATGAACTGTACAATGTGACAGGATCAAGGATAATTTGTAAAGTTTACAATAATCAATTCCACCCTCCATTAAAGAGCCAACAAAGATAACTTTTCCTCTCTGATAGAAAACAACATAGTTTGAATGAAATTGGCCTCTGGAATTCTGCCTTGAGCACAGAAGCAGAGCAGGCACCAAAGGTTGACCCACAGTCATAATTTGGTTTCTGCTCAGTTCGTGCTTGAGAGAGAGAGAGAGAGAGAGAGACTAGGAAGTTGAACTAGTTCTTTTCCTGCCCCTTCATGCCAGCTGAACTGTGTTGGCCAGCATGTTCAGTGAAGCCAAGGATGTTAAGAGGCAGTTAACTGGCTAATCGTGTAGTCGATAAGGGAAGGCGCTCAGTCCCAACTCACACCAAGTCCAGGAGCTACTCCTGCTGTGGCTCCGCAGTTTAAATGTAGTAGGAGCCAGGCATTGAGGCAGCCCAGTTCCTACTACATTTAAACTGCAGAGGCCCAGCGGGGGTAACTCCCAGACCCGGTGTGAGCGGCAACTGAGCTCACGCCAGGTCCAACAGCCCCTGTATGTGGGGGGTCCCGGCAGGGATCTGTGACCGCCATGGACAGGGACTGCTTCGCAACAGCCTTCCCTGCCCCCGCACTGCTGCCTCTGATAGGAGGTAGCACTGTGGAGACAGGTGCTGGGGAGAGACAGCTTTTTAAGCTTCCCCCCCTTGCTACCTTTGATACAGAAGCACCAAGGGGTGGGAGAAAATGCGAGTAGTCAACTTGACTGCCTGATAAGCCTCTGCTTATTGGGTAGTGAACAACTTGCTCAGATCCCTAGTGAAGCCCATGCTCCACCCTCACCCACTCCTACCCATCCAATCCCTGTCTACTCATGCGAAGGAAGAGTCGTTTCCCAGCTGCTGTGTTTTGACCTATGATATAGACAGTCCACACAGCAAAGCAAAGAGGGCATCTAACCAACTTGCAATATGCAGGGCTCAGACATCAATTACACTATTAGATAAGTGGCACCCTCTTTTGCTTTGCTTTTACTTTATCAGCAAATCACTTAATCTGACATGAATTCATTACATTTTGAACAAATAGTACTGAACTTCATTTTTTCTAAGTCCATAAAAATTAAGGGGGGGAAATGAGAGAAATTAAAAACAAACACTACAATCCATAACAAAATAAAAACAGAAATTTCCAAGTATGTTTACTAAGGTGATGACTGGAAAATATATGTTGTAGCAATACAACTTTATACATATAAAGCCATAGCTTTGACAGAAATTTTAGCTTAATCAGCTTTCACTATTCTGCTGTGTTAGGTTTTAGAAATGGAAATATTGTTTTAAAAAACTACATTCAGTTCTAAGTCAAATGTTCAGGAGATACTAAATATTTAATAAAAACGGCTTTTCAGTTAAACACTTCATTTGATTGTAAAGAAAATCACAGACAATTCTTTTCTTATGGCCTCGTTCCACAAAGAGTTGAGTAGTGAAAAGCACTCAAACTCTCAAGGGTTGCACTTGTACTGTTATAATTGTGTACCTACCAGGTTGTCTAGCATCCTCATAAGAGCTTCAAATTCTTGCTCCCCAACTTTCCATTTTTGTTGAGAGCCCATATTAACTCCACCTCCTCCAGCTGCTGCCACAGTGTGTGTAAAAGGCTTGTACTTCTGCATATCTAGTATAAGAAGATTGTCTATTCCACCTGCACCAGCTAATGCATGTACCTACAACAAAAGAAACCCACAAAACTTTAATTTGCTACCTTATAGATGGTTGTGTGTGTGTGTGTGTGTGTGTGTGTGTGTGTGTGTGCAGAATTCTCAGCATGTTTGAATTTAAGATGAACAAGTTGTAAACAAAGCATTGGCTGCAATTATGTCCTCAGGTTGCTTCACTTTGCACTAAAATTATGACAACTGCATTAAGACATGCTGAGAATGACAGTAATAATAATGACTCTAGAAGGAGTGAATGCTATAAACGTCAATTATTTGTTAAGTGCTCAACAATGTACTTTTAGCTGTAGAAGACAGAGAAATCTCTTTAATCTTGATAGAGATATACCCTGCTATTGTAGAGAAAGAAAACTGGATGTCTGATTAATTCCCTAATAAGTCACTAACAAGTGATTTCTGGATTCTGCTTAATTTATTTTGTAATATGCCAGTCTCCTCTGCTTTGTGCTCTTAGTGAACAATCCTCCCTTTCATCCCAACATTCAGCTTGAGTAATTAAGTTGGGTGCTGTGAATTACCACAAGGACAGAGGGGGAAGGAACTCTTCAATCCTCCACGGAGGGGTAGAGAACCTTTTTTCTACCAGGGGCCATTGACCCAGAAGAAAAAATACCAATTAGAGCCTCGCAGGGGAGGTGGGCAATGTGCCATGGAGACTCAGCACTTTCCCTAGGTTCTGGGGTGGGGCCAGAAATACAGGGGTTCAGAGTGTGGGAGGGGGCTCCGGCTTGAGGCAAGAGATTGAGGTGCAGGAGGAAGTGAGGGTTCCGTCTGGTGTGCCGGCTCTGTGTTGGGACCTGAAGTGCAAGTGCTCAGAGCTTGGGCAGCAGGTTGGTGTCGGGGAGGGACTGAAGGCTCCAGCTCAGGGGTGTAGGCAGAGGTTTGGGGTGTAGGCTCTGGAAGGAAGTCTGGGTTCAGGAATGGGCTCAGGCTTGGGGTGGCAGGTCCAGGAGGGAGTTAGTGTGCAGGAGGGGGTTCTGACCTGGGACAAGAGGCAGGGGTACAGGAGGAGGTTCAGTGTGCAGGCTCCAGCCAGGCAGCACTTACCTCAGATGGCTCCCAGATTCCCAGTTGGTGGCACATTTAGGCTAAGGTCCTGCTTGCCCGAAATGGTTCCTGGCCAATGGGAGCTCTGGAGCCGGTGCTAGGGGACAGCACATGGCACTTCCCCGATTATCCCTCCATCTTGGGGATGCAGGGACATGCTACTGAGCCTCTGCTTATGACTCCAGTCTCATGGGAGGGCATCTAGCCTTGGGCTGTGGGCTAGATGAAATGAATCAGGTTCCCACAAACCTCGTGTCCCATTTCTATACAGGGTAAGGACTGATGGATCTGTTGCCTTCCTGCTCCTCTGACCGTCACTGAGTTTAGTCCTGCAGGGAATGTTTATGGAGCAATGCTCTGTGGGGTGTAGAAGTATGCACTCTTGGACACATGATCCTGAAAGTTCCCTCTGTCCACAGTGAAAAGTGTCAATGCAGTTTCACTTGGATGATCTGCATTTAGACAAGAGGGACTCCAAATATGCCCTGTAATATTACAGATCCCTCTACATTTCCTCCCAGATTGCCAAATAACCTGTTGAAATCCAGGCAAAGTTTTAATGGCTCCTAAAATAACGTCCATGAAACGGTATCATTTTGTAATGTTATATGGCTATACACTGACTTTCTAATAAATGATACTGTCCCATGGGATAAACTCATTGAAGTGAGAACACAATGTACTGCACAGCAAAGCCAACACATTATGCCTACACTAACTAAAGCTCATACACAGAGTGTTTTCGATATTACTAACTGTGCACAGAGAATGCAGTAAACAGAACCATGTTTCTATTATAGACTGAAATTAAAAGCAAGTCTCCTCTTTATCCCACAGAACCTCTACCTCAGGGTAGCCAGTTATTTTTTGTCAAGGTTCAAATATCTTGGTCAAGGTATAGCCAAGGCCCAAACTCCAGTGAAGGAACTAAAACAAATGGTAATTAAATAAAAAGATTGTGCTGTGTTCAAAAATGTCTGGCAGTACAGGCTGGGCCCATGGCCTTCCTATTGACTACTTCTGTTCTACACAAATAGCCTAACAGCAGATATTCTGTTGAATACCTTGCAATAATGGAGCTTTCACCGTATAGAGTCATGTGTATCCATTGCAATAATTTGTTGCGGTATAAATATTTCCTTCAGGAAATTAAACAATGATAAAGCATCTCTCTTACCTGTATTTCACATGCAAGTTGCACATTGAAAATATAATGAAAGGCCTCCTCTAATGTCTCTCCCAATGCTACCACACCATGATTTCTCAAGACCAACACCTAGAGAATGAAAACACTAATGTTAAATGGTAGAAACTGGTACAGTACATGCAAATGATTAATGAAAATCATGAATAAAGGTTGACTACCTTGCAACTGGGTCCAAGAACCTTCTGAAGCTGAATTCTCTCTTCCTGTTCATCAAGAGATCCCTGGTAGTTGTAGTAAGCAACATCTCCCAGAATCAGAGCCTCTTGAGAGATTGGAAGAATACCACACTTCATAGAGGAAACCTGTTTCAAGAAAATTGAATGTTTGTGAAATTCCCAAAACAAAAATTTAAACCCACGTTCCGTACAAAAGTGCCCTGTTCCACAAGCCTCATGGTTAATCTTCCAAAGTTATAAAGGAACTGGTGATCACTCCAAAATTAACTACATAAGTGATAAATTATTCCCTATGATATTTCTCTAGTACATGGGTTCTTCACCTGTAGACAAGGACTACTCTGTCCCTCCTATATTCATAAATGAAAGGGAAGTCTTGGCTATATGCTGGCTTGATAAGAGGAATCTCAATATGGAGTAGATAGTATTCTAGTGCTTTATCCAGTCTAGTTTAAAATCTGGTGAACTGCTACCACTGCTTTCATTTGGGAGACGATGCCACATAAAAGATAGCACCATAAAGCAAGTTTTCTCTGGCAATTAAAATTAATGCATCTTTTCCTCATTTCATTCTCATCACAAGACTATAACAGGGTTCAAAAAACAACTAAATAAGTTCATGGAGGACAGGTCCATCAAGGGCTACTAGCCAAGATGAGCAGAGATGGTGTTGCTAGCTGTTGCCAGAGCTGGAAAAGGGAAACAAGGGATGGGCCACATGATGCTGTTTTGTTCATTCTTTCTAGGGGCACCTGGCACTGGCCACTGTCAGAAGATAAGATACTGTATGACTTACAGCTGCAGTTGCAGGGGTGTGTATGTGTATCACACATCTGACATCAGGGCGCATGGAGTAGATGGCAGCATGTGGACTGAATCCTGCATTGTCGATGCTCAGATTGGTACTCCCCTGGTCCACTACATCTCCTAAGATATTTACTTTAACCTGCGAAGTCAAACAAAGGAAACTAATGCAAACTATTATAAGTTGGTCATGAAACTGAAAAAGAAACAAACCAAAAAAATGTACAGTTCAGTAGGTACCATCATGGGAAAAGGTGGAGGGGTGGGGGGGG